CCCTTCCACTCTGGTTATGTAGCGTCCCTCAGCAGCCTCATGCCGGATGCAGGTCAATAGACCTACATTGGACATGATGGTATCAGTGGTTCTTAGATCACCAGAGCCCAGGGGAGAAGAGGCTGCGGGGACCAGTGTAGTGGAATTTTGATATTAACTCATACACTTTATGTTGTTGATATTAATTAGCATACACATTATTATTAATATGATGTAATAGTTAAAGTTATTTAGTCATTACAGTTGGGCAGCTTTATACAGACTTTTAACTTTTTAAATTAACCCAAATAGCATACAAGACACACTCGGCACGTGTCCAGTCTATGTGATTGGGCTGGAAAAGAAAAGCCTAGAGCATTGGAGACATGATGGCTGCAGGAATGTTAGATGTATGGCTCGTTGCAGTGACATAGGCCTGGGTAGCCAATGATATTGTAGCCCATATGGTTGTATTGTAAAATCTCTTATAAAAAGGGGCCTGCTAGTCAGTTTTTTTAAACTAGCCTGATCCCTGATGCAGCTGTTATCATTAAACCTGCTAAATGAAGGACCTTTGCTATTCCACTTCACCAGTCCAGCATCCCGGAGGGAGCCAGCAGCACCGAGAAACAGGTAAGTAAAAAAACGGAGCCCCCTGGACAAAACAAGCACTTAACCCTTGCAGTGCAGGGGTAGCCCCACTGCAAGGATAAGATTGTGATTTTTCCCGGGGTTCTCCTTTAAATAAACATGTAAAAGATCAGAAAGGTGTTAATCTTTATAAAAAAAAGAGTTCATGCTTTGGACGTTATTCTGTCCATAGTATAGACATGGGGCAGCCACAATTGCCCTTACTATGTTGCTGCTTTGATTAGTTGAGATTTACTGCTCTTTCTTATGGTGCAAATTTGAGTTTCCCCACTACTAAAAGCCGACACTATAATGATCTATATTTACCAATATAATAAAAACACTGAAGCACAAGATTCTAAAACTGTGAAAGTCACATAAAAACTACTTTAAGGTGAACACTGCAATGATAACTCAGTATGCACTCACTGAACACACTATCAGGTTTATGTAAACCCTAACAACAAACTTATTTCCTCTATTTTGGTTTGCTAAACCTGCACTGCAGCCTTCCCATCAGTCTTCTACAGTTGTACAGTCTCCTCTCCTGGACTGAAACTGCATACTCTGATTTCACTGCATAATGCAAGCTTCTCACAGTGTTCAACAGAAACTGCAGCAAGTAAGAAAAGGCCTGGCTACGTTTCCTGACTGGAGGATGTCCAGCATCCTCTAGCGTCTTTCTCCCCAGCCTGCCCCTTTCATTCATTGGATTTCAATAATTTCAACCATGAAGGCTGAACATCACATGTGTGCATTGCCGCAGCTCCCCGTTTTCAGGAAGCTATGTGCAGCCCCCTCCCACCAGCCATAATCTGCCTGCATTGCATAAGGAAGCACAAAAACACAGCGATGTCACTGGGTCTAAAATAATGTACATAATCAAACACAAAGGTTTTATTTAATTATTTCATAAGCATGTTGATAAAAAGGGAAAATGAGAAAAGAAGGTAGATAAACATAAGCTTGAAATACTACATTGAAAGTGTTTTGTTATATCTTCAATAAGTGCAAAAGATACCTGTTCATCCAGCCAGAAATCTATTGAGCCTCTAACTGCCTCTAACTGAGCCTTTGCTGCACTGATATCCTAAACAATGGTATCAGCCCTGCCAATTCAACTTGTAAACTACAGAACACTGCCCCCCCCCCGGCCCCCTCATGTTATAAAGACAGAGATGGGGTAGTTTCTGTAGTGGAGAACACTTTACAACATACAGGGGACCATGGGGAACAAAAGTAGCCACCCTCCAGATGGAAGGACAGTGTCAGCACCAATTCAGAGGTGATTTGAGGATCTACAGCCAAGTGATAGACAAATAAGATATACATTTGTGTTTATAATTAAGGTGCTTGAATGTCTTTTTAAGATTCAGTGCCTGAGTTTAGTGTCACTTTAAGTATGTTGGTATGTCAGTATCAGGAATCATTAAAACATGGGGTTTCAGGGTCTATGGGCTAAAAGTTATCTGAAACAAAATTCAGGCACCACTAAGTACCTACTTTCCATGAATGCCGTCAGTGACAAAAGGTTTTATATTCAAATTGTATTTGGTGGAACATTTTTCAGCTCTCCTTGAAAAAAAGTACTTTTCATCTTGATGCTTTCCAAAACTGCTGCCCTCTACCTTTTATGCAAAGTAGAGACTGGATAGCACAAGAGTCAATAATAATTCATTTTCAAGGAGAGGGACATAGCAGATACAGCATTTTGCATGGATTCATTCCCACTGAACAACAAAGGGTTTGGGTAAATAAGCTTTACACTACAGAACCACAAAAATGACCTGCAAATACTTTCATAAAATGCAAATGATAACCAGAGCCATGAACAAATGAACAAAACACAAAGAGTGATCTTTACCTGTAGAAGTGGATGATGAAAGAGACGAGGACTCGACTGAGTTGCCAAACAATGGGTCCCAGGCCAGAAGATCACTGTTGCCTCTACTGCAAAATATAAAAAAACAGTACAAGATTAGAAAGGCGTTGCCTCAATTTTAATAGAGCCGAAAGAGGAACTCTAGGCAAACAGCTAAGTACACATATGAAACAAATATAAGAAAGCTTATTTTCTGTGCCTGATGAAGACCTCATTTTTCTATGCTGCAGATAAGTAACTTTCCAGTCACAAAAACATGTTCCTTTCCCAGCTTGTGACTAGAAAGTTAAAGAACTCCAGGCAAAAGTTGTATTAAGCCTTGCAGTGGGGCTACCCCTGCACTGCAAGGGTTAAGTGCTGGTTTTTGCCTAGGGTCATAAATAAAAAGAAAAAGTTATACTCACCACATCCTGGTTTAAGAGCCGGCTTGCACCTACACCAGTCCCTGGAGCCTCTTTCCTACTCCGCTGTAGCAGTCTAAGGTCCCGTGAATCATCACATTCTATACAGTGTATAGATGTGAGGACATTGAGGACATTCCAATGCTGCAGTATAAGAAGAGAGAGGCTTCAGTGACAGGGGAAGCAGGCAGGCGGCTCGGCAATATGGGAAGAGTATAACCTTTTTTTTAGCACCTAGCCAAAAACTAGCAGTTGACCCTTGCAGTGGAGGGGTAGCACAACTGCAAGGGTTAATAAAAGTTTTGCCAAGAGTTCTTCTTTAAAGCAGAAGGCTGATAGGAGAGTGAACTTATCAGCATGCTCTTTAGCGCTGCAGCAAATCTGATTGGCTCCCAGTCTGAGCTCTGCTGTACAGGAAATGCAAGAAACTGATATCAGGCCAAATGCAATGCTTTCATTTAAACAAGATACATGTAAACCCATAATAATGAATACACTGTTTAATGAAAACCACTGATGGAGCCTTACAAAAGAAAAAGGGGAGGAGTCATGGCTCTGATTCTTTCACTTGTATGTGTAAATTTCAGCTTGAGCTATTGAGCTCTGTAAAAAAATAGGGTAAGGAGAAAATGAAAAAAAAACTGTGAAAAAGAGCCTAAACCTTCACATTTAAACTGCATATGAAAACACAAAATGGGGGATACATTATTTACCAGATCAAAATAAAAATATATTATTTTAGTATTAACCGCAATAAATATATTAAAAACAACTATAGGTGCCTTTATTTTTGTTTGTTTTGAAGGCAGGAAAGAACCGTTTTAAAAGATGAAACGCGTGCAAGTCTGACCCCCTATAAACTTTTACACCCTTAACGTTGTCTGTGTGTTCTTTCTTCAAATAGGAAGTACAGGAAACATTTGCTCCTCTGTACCCTGTGCAATGCAGAGACACAGCCAGGCCTTCTTCCAGGTTTAGACAACACATGGTTGCTGCACACATGTGGTGAAAATTGTGTTCCCTTTACATGACAAAAATGCGAATGTTTAGCCGAAAGATATCTGCTAACACTGCAAAATGTGTATGAAAGATTGATTCAGATCAGAGGCACCCAGAATGACATTTGTGCATGGCCGCAATGATATTGTATTGCTGAATGTATATTTATCTGCATACCCGCTCACTTCTTTCCAACCTGCTAATAGTACAAGGTAAGGATCTGGAAGCAAGTGTCAAGCACATGCCCGAGGCAACAGCCATTAACCACTGCTATGCTGAGCTGAGCTATCAAACACCTAAATGCCTAACCTGTCAGTACTTCACGGGGCCACTATTCTAAATAAAAGTTTAAATCACTTACTCTGTTCCTGGCATTTTTAGTTTGGTCATCTCTTCACCTAAAAATATAACCATAAATGAAAATGTTTAGTATAAATACAAAATTAAGACAGGATTCACATAACAATACAAACACTGCCACACTAAATATACCTACTTGAAGCATTCCGGATCATCTGTGCCTAGTGAAAAGGCAGAAAGTTATTTGAAAGGTTTGCAGAACACAATGAAAAGTCAATATAAGGAATTAATTATAAAGTGATTCCAGTTTCTATTGGTCATGTGCATGCAGTGCCTCAATGGTACCAAGACTTAAAGTGAACCTATACAATACAATCTAAAGTTGGTTAGTAGGGTTTCATTAGCACAGTTTAATGATTCAAAGTTAAGTTACAAAAGATGTACTTTTAACATATAAATTCCAGTTAGAACAACACTTTCACACATACTGAATGGCAGTGCCTAGGCACCCTGTTTTTCTAGCCTCACAGGAGTTGGGCATTATCTTACCCACTGCCATTTCTGATCACTGGATTACACTGATGGTATTATCAGTAGGTGGACTCTTGGTACAGGAAGAACTGTTCTACAGGGACACTGCAATGGATGATAAAGTAGGCCTGGGCAAAAGCTCTAAAAAAATGTTTACAACTGCCTGGTTTTCATACTGTATGAAAGATAATGTCACCTTTAAAAGAGCTAGTCAATAAAGAAACATGCATGTGAGCATGGCTATACTCTCCTCGACCTCTTGTATATCCTTACTGGTCAAAGAGGCTACCTTTCATGTTAAAGAACCAACAGGCAGGTGCAGGGTCAACTGAAAAGGTCTAGATTTCCATAATGTTTGACGCTGCCTATTTTTTTGGATCTACTTGACTGTCAATGGTAATCTCTGCTTAGGCATTTTACATTATATTCTCAGTTTGAAATTCCCAGGTCTATCACAGGTTCACTTCAAGTTGGCCATACATGGGTAGATCACGTTGCCTGACTGAGTTTCAAATTGGAACAGTTTTAAAAACCCAAAATGCTGCTCCAATCTGAACAATCCAAACGCTTGGCAATCTCACTGCATATATAAAATCGCAAAAGCGGCCAATGAAAACAGTATACACACACACACAGCTGTTCTTGGAGCTGATGGACAATTTTTGTTCCAAAGGATAATCGAATTGTGCACGCACTTCCAATGGCTCTCTTCGGTCTATGGGCAGCTTAACTGAGAGATAAGTTTCACATAATAAGCAGAAAGATGAAATAAGAGACATTTTCTATGTCCACTAAATGAGAACAATGTTTAATGTACTATAAATAGTGAAATAATGAAGACAAGTAGCTGGGAAAAGTACACAGAGGTTGGCCTGAGTTTGCACATAACTTCAATCATAATCATTAGCATCAAAAGAAGATACATAATTCTAGTGTTCTAGGAGAACAATGAGACAAAATGAGCCGGAATTTACAGACACAATAAATCATAATAGCAGTGTCTTCCAAGAGACGGTCAATATTTGTAAAGCCTTTTCGTGAAGTATCAGCTGTGTGTGTATTGCGATACAGTTCATGGCATAGAATGCAAAATCGATAAATGGTAATTTATCTGACAGTTGCTGTATGTGCTGTCATGTATAGTATAAGTATTGCCACAGACACACCTTTAGTGGAAGGTCAGCTGTGAAAACTGTATGACCAAATCAGTCACAATGCTTTCAAAATTAAATATGCCAGTAATATTAATAATCTTGTAATATACTCACCGGGCTTTGCCTCTGTTGTCAACATTTAGAACAAGAACAGAAAAGAAAAAAGGAAATTATTCACCAAAGCACTGCAAATATTACCAAGTTAACTCTAAATACTACACAACAGCAACAATATGAATGGGTTTAGAAATAACCAGAACACAAAATTAACCAATAAACATTGCTTTATAGCTGGATTTGGAATGATATTCAGTCATTCTTGTGAATTATAGATACCTTGCATGCCGCCATACAGGTAACACCCCTATATTCTGTATAGCTTCGTGTGACGGACAATTAGGACCAATTCACACCATTGCACTGCGATATGATGCATGTTAATGTGCACTGCATTAGGGCAGCCTATTCATTTCAATGAGCTTCCTAATAGACCGAAAAGGGATATGCAGCTTTTTTGGCAGCGCAGATGAGTGCACTACTGCAAAGCATGTCTGTCGGTAAGGCATGTTGGCTTGCCATTCACAATGGCTTGCCAATAAACGGTGCCATTCAGAATGAATGGAACCATATAGCACATGTTACTGCAGATGGTGTGAATGGGCCACTAATCAGTACAATGGCTTAGTGCGTAGAACTTCTGACTTGCAGCACTGTATGTCCATGGTTCAAATCGCAGTCAGGACTCGTGCTTGTGTGGGTTTCCTCCTGCACTCCAGTTTTCTCCCATACTCCAAAAACATGCTGGTAGTTTAATTGGGTCTAATATGCGTGTATGTAGCCATATGGGGTAGGGGTCACAGATTGCAGCAGTAGGCTGCAAAGCTGAAGCACAAAAAAAATGGTGGTGGCCCCTTTCTTGTGCAGTATGGCAGGGGTAGTTACTAATCATGAGATCTTCCAAAACAGAAATTCAAATGTTTTGCCAGATAAATCAGTCTATATATTTGTATCCCAATGGCACGTTTAGCTGTTTGCAATTGATATATGTAACACATGTGCATTTACCCCAAGCTGATACTGTAATACACATATTACATTTCCAAATACATGTGGCTTTGCTGTAAGTATGGGGCATTTTTTTTTCAATCTAAAACTGGGACAACATTAAAACCTACTACATTTTTACAAAACCTTTTTGAGCGATTGACTGAACGACAGCCATATGACAGCCTTAGCAGGGTCATCCAGAAAGTTACTTTGCATCATACACTTCATAATCTAAAACTGCTACACTATCATCAACGAGATCAGCAATTAAATATGCTCTGCCCTGTAACTTTGTAATTTAGCTTGTGATCACTATCACGTTTATTACTGTCAACAAGTTGCACAAGTTGAATTTCATGTATGGTTTGGAGCACAGGTCACACGAATACTCACAGAAGGTGCTGGTGAGATGGATATATTTCCTATAGAAACCTTCAGTTCATCCAGCGAGGCCATAGTATGATGGGAGCCATTATTAGGCTGCACAGGTTTGATCTCAACGTGAAATTTTTTAGGCCCATCATCTTCTGATTCAGAATCACTTGAGGAGTAAAAATGATTTTCTTTGGTATGTGTGCATCAGTTAAGAAAAGCTCGGATTCATTATGGCTACATTTAAATATAAAAACAAACCTATAACAATGCAAACAATGAGCAATCTGCATTTAGAAAAGTCTAATCGTTTTGGTGATTTACCAAGAACAAAAGGGGAAAGATTCAGAATTCAGGAGCCAGCAGGCACTTTGTAGCCAGAACCTACCTTGTATTTACCATAAACAAAAAAGGAGCAAATTAAATACTATTTTATTGTAAAAGGTTAAAAACGCTTACAACCATAACTTTTTGACGATTTCTCCATCTACTTTCTAGGGTCTTGCAAGAAATCTCACACAATAATAGTCTTTTTCAAGACCAAGTACAAGTACTTCCCCATACCAATTACCGATACTTTTTCTTAAAGGGGCAGGTGACTTTAAATGATCCATAGAACAACTACATGTTATGCACTATGGATCATGATTTAACCTATTCATGTTAGTAGGGGAGAATTGTAACTCTATTGCTGGAGTGTAGTGGAGGTGTGGGCTGTATATATGTACTACATATACATTACACACGTCCAGTACACTACAGCAATAGATTTACAGCCAGCCTTGTCCCAGCTTCCCTCACTCACAGTTTCACTCCTATCCCTGTTGCCTCACAAGATGCCTCTTGTAGTCGGCGCTGGGCAGGATCGCTGCATCGCATCTCAGTGCTCAGCCTGTGGGAGGCACTCGCAATTCTGCCCTGCTATTATGAACAGGTTAAATCATGATCCATAGTACATATACAGCACACACGTCCAGTACACTGCAGCAATAGAGTTACAATTATCCCCTGCTAACATGAATAGGTTAAATCATGATCCATAGTACATATTAGGGATGCACCGATATATCGGCCGCCGAAACATATCGGGCGAAAATGGCACTTTTGGCATAATGCCGAAAGTGCCATTTTCCTGCCGATACATCGGCGTATCCCTGATTTCTTTCCTTCCCGCTGGGTGCCGCTCTATGTCCCAGCGGAGAGAAGAGAAAGTGACAGCCAGCCGAGCGCTGCGGTGGAGAGCGCTGTAAACGGCCGGCGTCTCCTCCCACATCGCTCTGCCGCCTATCACAGTCCGGGAGAGCGGTGTGTGGGTGGAGACAGCGCTGTCACAGGAGGCTGGGCTTTCCTCTCTACATCGCTCGATCAGCCTCCTGTGACAGCGTGTCAGAGAGAAAAACAAGGTACACACTCAGTGATCAATGATCGCTGAGTGTTTGTACATAATTGAGGACATGGTATGTTAACTATATCCTCAATTATGAATGAATGGGAGTGATCTACATCTCCCCATTCATTCATAATTGTAGTTATAGTTAAACACACAATGTTCTCATGTTATCAATGAACAGGAACACTCAGAGGATTCCTGTTCATTGATAACAGCGGACACAGAAAAAGAGATTGAGAACACAAAGTCCTCAATCTCTTTTTCTATTTTAAAAGGGAAATATCAGGGGTCTGTTTAGACCCCTAATATTTCCACAAAGCACCTAAAAGGAAAGTAAAAAATAAAAATAGTTAATAAAAAATGAATAAAAATAAAGAAATTAAAAAGTTTATAAAAAGTAAATAAAATATAAAAAAAATTTGAAAAAATAAAAAACATTTTCGGTATCGGTTTCGGTCTGACATTTTCTTCTATTTCGGTTTTAAAATTTCCATTTCGGTGCACCTCTAGTACATATACAGCACACATGTCCCGTACACTGCAGTAATAGAATTACAATTATCCCCTGCTAACATGAATAGGTTAAATGATGATCATACATAATATGTAGTTGTACTACGGATCATTTAACCCATTCATGTTAGCAGGGGATCATTGTAAATCTATTGCTGCAGTGAATTGGGAATCTGTACATGTACTACATATAGAATGCACTGCAGCAATAGATTTACAAATCTGCACTGCTAACA